GAGTCCTGTTGCCGCCTGGTGCCCTGCCAGCACCGCTGCTCAACCTCGCGCTCTCCCCACAAGTGTTTTCCACTTCTGGCACCCTCAGGACTCACAAATCAGATTATTTAATAGACCAGAGCAGAGCGAGGCAGCGTGGAGAGCAATGCTGGGGCCTTGAAGGTCCTTGCGGGACCCAGGTGTCCGGGCCCACCTCTGCTCTCCCAGGACCCCAGGCTCGTACCTTCCCCCAGCACTGGCTCAAGGGTGAGCTGATAGTCCGACTTCTTCACGGTGCTGCTGAACGTGGGGATGTTCTTCTCCTGGCGCAGCCAGTATGATTCCGGGTACACCGCCTTGATCTGGCCCACGTGCCGCTCCTCGAACTGCCTGCGAGAGCCCAGCAAGGTCAGACACCATGGGGACAGCGACAGGGACCCTCCTGCCACCCCTGCCCACGCTGCACCTACTTGCGCATCACGTCCTGCACCCCCTGCTTGACCTTGGCGAAGGTGACGGTTTCGGAGCGGTTGAAGAGCATCCCCACGATGGCATCCATGCTGCGGAACATCTCCGCCAGCACCTTGAACTTGTAGGGCAGCGTGAGCCCCGGCGGCACGTCCTGGGCTAGGGTGTGGAAGCGCTGGTACGCGGGGACCTTCTCGCTGCCGGGAGAGGGACAAGAGGTGTCAGCTCCTGGCACACTCCTTGCAGTGCCTGTGACCTCCCGGACAGGCTGGCTCAGCATCCCACTGCCTCAGGGCCACCTTCCTGCCCGGCAGCCCATGCCACGCTCGCCCCAGTTAGGTCACCTTCCACCCCCATCCCTGTGGTTTTCTCCAAGTAGCTTCTGCCACCATTTGGGTCATCCTGTGCTTCGGACAAGGGCTTTGCACATCCACAGCCGCTGTTGAGCCCTGCGCCCCGAAGCAGCTGCTCACCTGGCCGCCCCTGCCGCGGTGCTGCTCTCCTCCGAGGGCTGCGCCTCCGCTTTGGCTCTTTCCGCTCTCCTCTGGCGGATCCTCAGCTCCAGGTCCCGCGCTCGCTTGAGGCGGCTCTGCAGCTCCGCGCTGGCCTCAGCGGAGGCTGCTGGCACCTTGGCGAGCTCAGTGAGCGCCTTCATCCTCTGCAAGCGGCGCTTCAGCTCCGCGATGCTCTCCTGGGGCAGAGGAGGACAGTGACATGGAGGCACCCGGGCCCGGCACACCAGTAACTTTACCAAGCGCCTCTCCACACCGCAGAACCAGAATCTGTGGGATCATTAATGGCCCTTCTTGGTGGGACACCCTCTGTCCAGGAAGGAGGGTAAACAGAGGTGACCTGACAGAGCAGTGAGGGTCACCTTGCCCAGCACAGGGTGACACTAGGACATGCAATCACCCCCATCCGTACCTCTTCGACCCT